GATCGTTATGTTTACGGCATGGTCTGCATCAAAATGTAGGAAGCCCCATTTGAAGACAATTTATGATCTAGAGAAAGGAAGATATATAGTAACTCGTATCAGCAGATGATCTTGATAACTTTAGTCGAACAATTGGAGGAGATCAAACCTAGCTTCTTGGTTGTTGATATCAGGGAAGCTTCTTAGTTGATGCTTTCATTAGTTTGCCACCAAAAGTTACCTGCTTAAGGTTGTCAAGATGATGGGATGCCTCAGATTGTATGATAATGTGATTTATGTGGGAAAAAGTGGTAGAAGATTGGCGTAAACTTCGGATTTGTCATTCCGCATCGCTCAGTACAGAACCCCCTGACGATGAGGAATAAGTGAGGCTGGATAGTCATAAGGAGTATATGACTCCTGCCAGAGTTTGGACGCTGTATTATATCCTTTACATGAAAAATATACTATGCTTGATTGATGCTGCTGCGTGCAGCAGACATAATTGAGCTTCAGACATCATTTGAATGATTCCTGAAAAGAAAATTCTTCTATATGTTCAAAGCCTGTGTAGTATTTCCCAAATTAGATTATGGCGCAGAGACGAATTTACTGTAATTATTTAAGATTTAGGACGTAGAAAGGATATTTTCCGGGCAGTTGCTTCATTCATTGCAACAGCCTGTCCTATGTATGAGCCCAGGTAATGACACTGAATAATTTGTTCATCCCTGTTTCTTGATAAGGTTTAAGGGGATCATGACTGCTTTATTTACTAGCGCAGTGAGCCAAGAAGAATAGTCTAGAGCTGATTTATTTAGCCTTATCACTTAGAATGGAAGATGAAATTTGCATGAAAAAAGCTGAATCTAAGTTGAAAATACAATTGAAATTCTAATTGATGTATACAAGCTTATATAAGACTCAACGTTTGTGCATTAGGGTTTCATTCTGCATTATAATGAACAAAAATTTGAAAATAAAATTAAACTGCAATATAATTTATGGTTAAAGAGGACTGAATCAATAAATTACCCATATAAATATATTATAGTTTTGCCATTTTAACTGGGATAAACAACATAAATATTATCATCTTTCCCATTAAATGAAAGTCAATTCCCAAGAAAATACACAGAAGCTTTCATGGAGTAATCAAAGCAGCCATAGAAAATTAGACCACCACCACTCGTTACTCACTCGGTCAAATCCAATCTAAACTAGTTGCATACTTTTATTTACCAAGTCTTAAGAACAGAGACGTGCTTTAGACTCAATTAGGCTCTGTTTGACCAAATCTCAATTTATGTTTCAAAGTTCTAACAAATTATTAAATAAAATGTAATTATTACTGGGTATTACTTCTTACAATAATTATATATATATATATATGTATATCAATTTGAGTTATTTTTAATTATTTTCTTATATTTAACAGTTTTGATATGTGGGTAACAAGAATAACAATGAAAAATTACTGTTATTTGTAAAGATTATAAACAAAAACCTAAAAAACATACATATATATATATATATACATACATACAAGTAATTCCCATGTAATGAACATTCAGTTCACCCTGTTTCTGTATCTGTGAATCCAAATTCATCATCTGTTTTTCTAACAGATCTTTCTTTCAATCCTACCCACAAGTCCATATTGTTTATGAACAAATTGACAATTTAAAATTTATTTAAAATCTTTATCCACCATAATTTATAAAACTGAAATTTTTATTATTAATTCCCATAATTAATGAACTAATTATTTTTTGGAATTGAATTGTCCACAAACTATAATAAACACAATGCTTCAACAAATAAAATGGATATGTAAAATCACATTTAATTTTCTAACACTTTTTCTAAAAAAATAATAATAATAAAGGGAATCATACTTCCACATAAACATATAACTATATAAACACATAGATATAAAAGTGATGTATAGATTAAAATTAGATAAATAATTTAATTAATTCATACAAATTATTTTTTTAAAAAAAAATAAATATAATGAAAATGAAAGAATTATAAAAAAACAATATTAGAAATTAAATTATAACAAATATTAAACTTTTAAAACTAATATTATGATGATATGTACATGAATACATGAGTATGAAACAAAATATAAAATTTTAATATAGAAATTTAACAAATTTTGTTGATGGGTATTTTATATTTTACAAAATTTGTTAATGGGTACCTACCACAAAACAAGGTATATTTATATTAAATATGTATATATATATATATATATATATATAGGAATTATTTATGAGAGATATTATCAAGAAGAATCTGTTGAAATATATGAGTTGCCAACCCATAGACGACTACGTACCTGACAACCATGACAGACGGGGGTCGTTCGATTTCAACACGGCAAATTGGGTTGTTAAATTACGAAAATACCCACGAATCTGCGGGATAAAATTACCAGATTACCCTCGCATTATTATAACAGAAGGTCAACTAAATTTTATACATCTTAATGATCGTCAATTTCGACCGTTTGCTCCTAGACGGTAGCGACGCTAAAACCAAACTATACTTTTTATCTTTCGACAAATCCCATTTTCCTGTCTAGAAATTTTAGGAAACGCGTTCGAGAAAATTACTTTCCTCTCCTGATTTATCGCTCTCAACAGCTGAAAGCCGCACGCTTTTTAAGCATTTGTCGCCATTGTTGCAGGTAATGTATACGATCTCGAGGATATTTCTTTCGACATTTCTCTTTTCTTGAATTTCTTTTGTTTGCCTCTTAGTTTCTTTCTTCTTTTTTTTTTCCTCTAATTTTCTCGGAAACCTCCGAATCGCGCTGATTCCACCACCAGCGCGATCCTTGGTTTCTAGGGTTTGGCTCCACATTTTTATTTTTCCAATCTTTTTCTGCTTCATATTCGTTTTAGGTTTTTTGGAATAGAGCATTTTTTTGAGAGAGATGAGTGATCACGTGGTTCTGTATGTGGACCGGTTGGTGAGACCCGTGTCCGTACATCCGGTCCCCGCGGAGGCGGAGAAGACCTCCCCGGAAGCTGCGGGGCCGTCGAGTTCGGCGGCTTCTGCACCTGCGGCTGCGCCTGTGGATGAACATGTTGATGAGGAGGAAGGAAACGAGGGTTCTGGCGAGGAAGAGCCGTTGATTCAGATGGCTGAGTGCCGCATTTGCCAGGAGGAGGATTCCATCACGAATCTCGAGACTCCCTGCGCTTGCAGTGGTAGCCTCAAGGTATTACTTAATGAGTTTCGTTAATTTTCGTTTAAGGATTTTGAAATTTAAGAATCAGACAGTTATCACCATATTTATTATCTTGAATGCCCGTTAGATGACTTTATGTACATATTAGTTTGCTTTTACATTCCATGGTTGAACTCTAATTCAGTCATTATTCATGGTTAAATTTCAAGGTTTATTCTTTGTTTGATTATGTTGAAATTCTGTGTACTAATTCATGGCAAACATCATGGAACTTGCTCCTTGCTTTTTCGAATTATATCAAGATTTCACTCCTACAATTATTTATTCGCTGGGACCATAATTCATGGGAAGGACTAATTTGAGGACTAGGAATTAGCACACCGACTCGTTTTCTTCCCCACCTTTCTTATTTTTAGTCCTACGGAAACCCTTTTATTTGTTTTAAGGAGTCTTCCATTCGATTAGGAAGATATGATCTCATGTGCTTTATAAAGCAATTTTTTTGCTTGAAAGTTTTTCTTTGGTGTTTATTACTGTAAATAATCTCCTAACATTTAAAAAAAGAAAGACTAATTTTTGCTCATTTCTTAAAATTTTTTTCCCCTGTAAAACAAAAGACTATTTTTCTAACCAAGTTTCATTTTTGTTATGTTTCTATTTGTTTTCTCACAGTCAAAGGAGGAGGTGGAATGATAATTTCATTGCATTCTTGTTCCACTATGTTCTTGATTACGGGTTGTTTAATTCCATGCTTTTATTAGGATTATAGTGCATTTAGGTGTTGCTTCAGATGTAATGCCCCTTTCTCAGGCACTCTGATAACTATTTTCCTGCTGAGTGCTGAGTGTCTTTACACCATTTTCATCCGCCTATCCTGTAATTTTATTGTAAGTGCTGAACCGGAATTGAGTTGCATGCTATTCGGGCAAGCGAAAGTGTTAAACACACTCTTAGATCTTGTAACTCTTGATTATCAACTATTGTCTTTTAGTAGTATTTGTGTGAGGCAGTATTCGAGTTTCACTATGCATCTTTTATTTCGGCTTCTGACGAGATCGATTTGCTTTTTTTTTTTTTTTCAAATCCAGTATGCTCATCGAAAATGTGTCCAGCATTGGTGCAATGAAAAAGGTGATATTACTTGTGAAATCTGCCATCAGGTGTGTCTATTATTGTCAAAACTATTATGGGCTATTATAGTCATAGAATGGATAGTTACATTTCTAGATTCTTCTTTCTTAAAATTTTTTAAGTTTTTCACTTTTTCTCGGTTTTTGGATTTTTTATCTGGTGCACAGCCATACCAACCAGGTTATACTGCTCCACCTCCTCGTCCTGAAGAAACCGCAATTGATATTGGGTAAGTTAAATACTTTCCATAAAGTAGAATGGATCTAACCAGATGTGCATTCTTAGGTGCTAATGTATTTAAAATAATCATGATATTCTAGATGATTATCCTTTTATTCATGAATTTCTCTTGTAGTGGAGGGTGGACAATCTCTGGTACTCCTTTGGATTTGCGTGATCCTCGACTCTTGGCAATTGCAGAGGCAGAACGTCAATTTTTGGAAGCTGAATATGATGACTATGCTGCTTCCAATGCTAGCGGGGCTGTATTTTGTCGCTCAGCTGCTCTTATTGTAAGCCTCTAATCAAGCAACTTCTAGATTATTATGGCTAAATCTTATGATTTATATTTCATAGATACTGCAACCTTATCTGCATTCTAACCTTGAGATGTAGTATTGATGGATTGCAAAAAGGGAGGACCATATTGATTGATTGCAAAAAGGTACATCCCTTTTTGCAAATGATGGATGGAGGAATATTGTCAGGTTAACCATGGAGGAATATGTTCTGTTCCATTTTTCTGGGACTTAATCTACCAGCCTCATTAGGCAGCCACCTAGACTGGCTCGCCGGAATAGAGTCCTGTATTCACTAGCATTTAGTTTTCTTTTCGAAAGAAGAAAGTGTAGTATTAGACAACACCAAGGGATGCAACCCGTGTATAAAAACATTTATAAATATATCAATATCAATCTGGTTCTCTGGTCCACTCTAGTGTAGAGGATGACAATAAAAAAACTGTTTAGAACCAAATATCATTAATTCTATCAAAATATAATCCTATGTTCTCAAAATCTCTTCTACCCATAACACAGCCAAGAGGATTAGTCTAAGTACTTATTGTAGTGTTTTATCTTAACGGATGCCTCTCTGGGCCCACATCCTTTTGACTATAAGCCTAGAACCGAAGCATCCATTCATGATGATCTTCCCCTTTTAATTAGATTTTCAATAGTTAAGTACAACCTCACTGCTTTCCAGGCAAAAGAACAGTGATGGTATTCACTAGCATTTACTATGTTAACGTTCCTATTTTTTTTTCCAAAAGTTTCATTGATTATCCATGCAATCCAGAAGTGACCTTGCTCAAATTTGGTTTCTTTGCCAGTTAATGGCCCTTTTGCTCTTGCGTCATGCGTTGGCTGTCACTGATACTGATGGAGAAGACGATGTATCTACTTTTTTCTCTGTAAGTGAATCCTAGGGTTCCTTTCGGTTTTGTTACATCGAAAACAGGTGAATGTATCTAGGATGATTAACTTGGTTTTATCCTCTGCAGCTTTTCCTGCTTCGGGCTGCTGGATTCCTTCTGCCATGCTACATCATGGCTTGGGCCATTAGTATCTTACAACGCCGGAGGCAAAGGCAGGTTGGTATCTCATTCATCTTTTATTATTTTTCTCTTAGGTTTTAGTCTAATCTATATATTCGCAGAAAAGGCCTTGAACAGTTGTTCCTGGCAATTATTTAGTGAAATGAGTTCTTTGGAAATTGTTTTGCAAAATATATTCTATATACATTTGAGTTTTTTGGAACAGGAGGCAGCCGCGTTGGCAGCAACACAAGTTGCTTTCGTGCTACAATCTGGGCAGCATAGAGGTGTGCACTTTACTATAGCATCGGGACCCCCCGTGGCTACACACCCAGAAACCGTTTGATTGATTTACATGGGCAGATTGTATTCTCTCGAAATTCCTGTGTACTGAATACTGTGTAATGTCAAAAGATAGAGGCGTCCTGAATCAATAAGCTTTGAAATGTCAATTAAGAAAATGAAAAAGGTCGAGATTACATTCCCTATTCCTGCTCTTACCTCTGTATTAATGGTGTCATTTTTCGCTCTCCCGATGTTTTCTGTATATAAGAATTCTCTCGAGTGCTTAGCACACGAAGGTGTTTAGGGAAAGTTAATTTTAAGATTTTGTCGGGTAAATAGGGGTAACATTTCATCTGCAATGAAGCACTTTGGTCACATCTGTTCTGCATCTCTTCTCCTATTCATTACAATGATTCATGCTGCACTGGAAGCAAACTTACTGGCTAAACGGCAGATAAAATATATCCAAGTATCCAGAAGCATTTTAGAACTGGTCAAAAATATTATCTTACAATATCATTTATACACTGTTCACCTCAATGACATGACATTTACAAAGTTAAATTATTAATCGACTATAATATTAACTTTTTATAAGTATTATGGACAGTATAATGATATTTTGATGATTTTGGCTCTTCTGGATTTAATCACACAACCTACCAAATGAAAATCAAAAGGTTCTCAAATCACAAAACCTACCAGACTTATTACTCACAGAACCATTGGAACTGCTACAAAATCAAGACATTACCATGTTCCACCATTACTCTGATTGTTATTTAAGACATTAATTATATAAATGAAGTTACTTATACAAGTGGAATGCAAATAATAGGAGCTAGAAAAAAAGCTTTATCTTCATTCTCTCTTCAATGACTAAGTTCTCATAAATACCGCTAGTAGATAATTTAACGAAATTGACTAGGTAACGGAGAGAAGATCTCTTTATAAATAAAATAACTCATTTAAAATATAATATAAGATTACTGAAGATATTACTTAGACAACTTTGTTGTGTAATATTTTTCTGTCACATGATCAATTTCCAAGAAGAAGTACACTCCTATGTTCCAAAGCATGGTGTCTCAATGACTGAACCTCTAGATTAGGTAGGAAGAAATCTTAACAATTGAAAAATTAGATGAAGAACTTAACTTTTAGAACTTTTTTTCTCTATCAGAACCTCGAAATTCCCCTCATGGTGGCTTAATCTTGCACCAATCCACATAAACTACACCTTTTTTTTTGTTAAATTTAAAATGAATTAGATAGTTGGATAAAAGTAGGAAGCATATATTCTTACATACCCAACCCATGATTACAACCCATGAGAAGAATGTTAAAAAGTATTGCACTAGTTCATCTCCCTTTTAAATTTTTAACATTCTGATTGTACCTCTCCCTTTTAATAGAAAATTCAAAGTATGTAATTACATATTTAATGAAATCAATTTTGTTACTTGTAATTCAATTTTCCTCCCATCTATCTATCGACTATATCAACTATTTCTTAATTAAATGTTACTTGTAAGTTCGAACTATTTTATACTTATTGTGCGTCTGTCTTAAAAGATTAACTATCCTGTTTAGTATTTCAAACTATGATATTGGCAAATATTTGAACATGTAACTAAGTGCAAATTTTGCATCAAATACAATTTTCGAATAAAAAAAATATGTATATTGATAGAATACAACTTAAAAAAGAAGACTTCGATATTATCATGTGACCATAAAGCGATCGTATCCCTATCGCAACGAATAAACATTTATCTAATGTTATATTGCAATGCTACCAAATGCTACTACAGAGAATATATATGACGTTTGTAGGCGTCTGTAAGAATAGAGGGCAAGGATTTAAAAGAGGGAATAGTTCAAAGATGTGCGGAATGATCTTGTGAATATTACTAACTCTGCATGCTTTATCTTCTTTAACTTGCTTTGCCACATTACATTTGTTTGAACTCCTTTTTTAAGTGGCAGATAGATGTTGTCATTCATTACTTTGAGACCAGTTTTCGCCTATGAGACCTTAAAAACAAATTTAAGACCAGTCACCAGCCTCGAGAATCTACAAAAGCCTTAATTTGCAATGTTTCTCTTTTCCCTTTTCTGCATTTTGGTATTTTTATTATTTGTTTGTTTTAAAGGATTATTTTCATATCGTTTACACTATTATTATCATACTATTTTTCTGTGGTAAGATCACTTTTTAATTAGACATATTCTAAAGTGGATATGGCTCTGTTAGGATTCTAAATGGAAAACTGAACTTTTAACAGAAGAGCCGGCGATTCTTGAAGTACATTTTACCTCAAACATGGGACTGTACGGTAGCTCAACTCTTAAGCACTGAGGAGTAAGGTCACCACCTTTTTGTCTTTGGCGGCAAGCTGGAATTACAAATTTACTGTTTCCTCTGTACATTATCACAAAAGAAATTAAAGTAACCGAGCTGATAGTGTAAATGTTAATAAATTCACCAAATACGTGATTGATTCCTATGAAATCTCTACATAGGTTTTCAGTTTTGATGTATCAGTACGTGCATGCATGTGTACACAGCCCAACCATGGCACACTTCATCTTCATCTCAAGGCACAAGCAAATCTTAGCAACATTAGATACAGCTAGTTGTAATAAAGTGTAGTAAATTATGCTTTAGAAAGTTCCAAGTTGCATGTGATATTCGTATATTATATTAAGCCACTGTTCAAAAGAAAAGTGAGGGGAACTAAAGAAAAAGATGGTCTACATGAATAAACGAGAATAAAAAATATTAGCAATTCAGGGAGAGAAAGAAGAGGGAGTGGGTCTTCTCTAAATCATGAATGGACGATTAAGAGTCTGGCAAAACCCAAAGCAAAGCATAAAGAAGCAAATTTAGCACAAGAAACCAAGTACTGTTTATTTTTGTTGCATAGAGAAGAGAGCTTGGAATTCTAAAGTGAGGAGGAGATCTTAGAATGGCATAAAGCAGTGTATACTTCTTTTGGGTACTGCTCCACATATTCCATGTTCTTTTCTCCTCCACAGTTTTTTATTCTTTATAAAACTAGCATGCTACTGTAGCAATCCAACAGTTTTAGGTGTCCCCTGGCTCTTGTCTGCCCGGTCACTCCCATTAAAAAACACAGATAAAGATAAACAAAGACAAGAACTCCCTTTTCTTAGTAACAAAGTATTGTTAACTTACCATAATGCCCTGCCATAGATGTTCTGATGTTATTTTACAATCAAGTTTGTGTCAAACATTATATGATATTCCCAAAAGTTCATAATGGTTAAGCTATAGAATAGAATTTGATGCCATCCACAAGAGCAGCCTTGGCTGATCTCGAGATTGGCTAAACAAGAATATTTTAAATATCTAGTGAATGTACACATAAGCATGGTCGGGTGACGTGGCCAGATGTCTAAGGGATCAAGAGACTTGTCTAGCCTTGTGTTGGTAGACAAAAGCAAGAAAATTATAGAGATGCGGGGAAAGGAATGAAGAAAAGATACTTGGCTTCTCAAGGGTATGGTTCCAACCCCTTTATTCATCATTGTCAGATTCTTCCATAACAGCCTTAGCTTGGCTTCATTACAGTCTTATGATTTGGGTGAATCTAAAATTCCCCACTGGGTGCTCCGGGCCCCTCCTAGCTTTACGCTTTAAAGTCCCCCTTCAAATACAATCAGAGATAAATAGCAGGCCTATATAAAGGAATATAAGCACGGAAGTATTACAATTTCAGAATTGTTTATTCTCTCATTACCCTAAACAGAAGAAAGGTAGTTCTATCCTTCTTGTTTTTGCTTAGAAATTATGAGTTTTAGGGCTGGTAGCACGCTTGTCCTACTTATCAGCATCCAATTATTGGCAATCCAACTAGATAAAGTTTCTGGCTTGAGAAGTATAGATTTTGTGGTCAGACATAGCCAAGAACATGCAGGAATAGTGCACCGCAGTCAGCGTATTCTCAAGGGTAACATGGAGAACATGAATACAGACAAGAAGTCAGCATATGTAAGCAGCACACTTGATCCAAATCAATCAAGCAAAAGAAGGGTAAGAAGAGGATCAGATCCTATTCACAATAGGGCCTAGTACATCCAAGTCCTGTCCTCAAGCAGAGAAAAAAGCAGGGAGTTAAAACACTGAAGAAACAGACTGTAACTATGCTCATATATACGGACAAAACCGTGGATTTTATCTGCTTCACCATAGAATGCTTACAAGGTTGGTTAATTGGTTAGTTTTTTCTCTATTATGTTTTAAGAGCTTTTTCCCTAAAGAGATGTATAGGTGACAGAACCAGAGGATGACCCTCGAAGCTATTCTGTGAGCTCGCATCATCATTGTATTGTAAGCTGAGATTATAATCAACAGCCAAGCAGAAACCACAATATAGATGATGGTGCAAGCTCCCAAAAGAAAACCTCTAGAGTTGTTTTCTGATCTTTGTTTGAATATGAACTAGTTTTGTTTATGTTAGTACTAAGTTTCTTCCAGATTATAGTAAAATTCTTTGTACTCTGATGTAAAGATGTCATTGCTATACTTTTAACATTGCAAACTTCAAAGGAATATTGTTTCTTTCCCTTCAACAATATAATTTTGATAAACCAAGCATAGCTCGGTTGGCAGTTTGTCTCCACTGTTTGGGTGGATGAAAGTTTGACTCTGCTCAAGTCCCACTTGTTACACAAAGTGGCTTTGCGACTTAAGCAAAATTTAAAAAGAAAACAAAAAAAAAACAATAGAATAGCAGTAGTAACTAGAATATCTATATTATAGACTCAACCCCTAGCTAAATATTCTTATACTTCATATAACAGTTACATGCATTACGAATTACAACTCCTCAATTAATTTAGGTCATGTGATATATATATATATAAATTTTCTTGTCCAACAGAGAAACACTCAAAACTTCAAATTTATTAGTGAGGTAGCTGAATAAAACAGAGTAAAACCTTTTATCTTTCCATTTAAATCGACTCGTGGTCCTTTAGAGATGGTAGATACCAAATGGACCATAAACAAAAGATTTATGTCCTTTCTATTATAAGCCCACCTTTCTCCATCCAAAAAAGGAGAAAAAAACATGACTGTCCTACATTGGAGATGCTGAGAAAAGACAATGATAACCTAAGGAAGAGGCTTATCGAGTTATCATGGTTCGTGGTTTATAGTTAAGAGGACATCTTCCATTCCCTCCCAACATCAATTCAGACACTATAATCAATAATATATCCCCAATTCCTCCTCTCAGACTATAATCACTCTTAAATAGTTTTATTTCTTTAAATAAAATCAGAGTACAAAAACACAGAATTGTAATAGCCAGGAGCATGCTCGTAAGAATTTAACCTCGTCAAATAATTACATTAAGT